TAATGTGTCTAGCTTGCAGCCCAGAAAAAGTGCCTTTTTTGCCACGTATTTACGAGAACAAATCGCCAAGTCTGACTATGCTGTCAGCTTTCTGCAAGAAACCCGTTCTCGCGAGTCACAGCTTGTCACGTCACAGAGCCACTTTCGTATTACTGCTGCTGCTGATCGAGGCAGAGGCGGAGTTGAAATTTGGCTGCTGAGGAGGTTCCAGAATGGGGCTAGTACGGGGTTTGCCAAGGAAGCTATCCAGGTTCTGTATGCTGACCCCCAATTCCTGTTGACCAAAGCTGTATGCAAAGGCACTGACTATCTTTTCTTCACTTTCCACGCTCCCCACAGCGGCGTTGAAGAAGGCGAGCAACAAAGATTCTGGGCTTTGCTCCGGCATGAACTGATGCATTGGGTTCCAATCTACCCAAACTTCATCGGGGGCTTTGATGCCAATGCGCACATGAGCTATGCCACTCTGCCTCATATTGGCGAGCGCGGCCTTGAAGAGCGAACCAACTTTGCCGGTACATCCTTGGGGAACCTACTAGCCCAATTGGGAAGTTGGCTCCCATCGACCTTTGAAGCCTGTCACGCTGGACCAACAAAAACCTGGATCAGCAATGTCAACGGGCAAGGGGCGCGTTGTGACTACTTCATGCTCCCAGAGGAGTGGAACGGCCCATGTCGGACTTTTCCTGATGATGAATTAGACTCTGGGACAGCTGGCATTGACCACTCCCCGCTTGCTTGTGAAATTGAAGTATATCTGACGAAGCACAAAGGGAGTAAAGTGCGCTGCAACTTTGACCGTCAAAGACTTCAGCAATGTGCGCCTGAGACATTGGCGGCATTGTTTAGCAAGCCACCAATTGTGCCCTGGTCAGTTGATGTCCACCAGCATGCTACGATTTTGGCAGAATGGGTAGCAGGAAAACTAGCAACGGCTTTCCCGAGTGATCGACATCGTCCACGCAAGACTTATATCACTGAAACTACTTGGCGAATCAGACAGGCACGACTGGCTTTGCGAAAGCTTGTTGCGCTACATTGCCAAAAAGCTTGCAATGCAACTACGACTCTCGCCTTCCATGCATGGAGGTTCGCTGAATGTTTACGGCCTCGTGATCTGCTGCTGTATACACTACGACAGACAGACATGTTGATCCGTTGCCGACGCCAGACTGCACAGCTCACCAAAGATCTGCAGAGATCACTCAAAAGAGATCGAACTCTCGCATTGGAACAACTTGGCGAACAAGCCAATTCCATGTCCCAAGCAGATTTTGCTGCTGCATTGCGATCTATGGGTGTCCAAAGTAGACGCAAGCCCACCTTTGCCATACCATTGCCTATGGTGCGCGATGAGGAGGGTTGTCTGCTTGATACTACTTCAAAAGTTGCAGAACGATGGCGAACACATTTTTCACTTCAAGAAGATGGACAGGCCAAATCAATACAAGAATTGATGGACCTCTGCGATGAAAAGAAGAACGTGTCATTTGTTTGTCCAGAGTGGTCGCAGCTCCCCACCTTCATTGAGGTAGAGGCCAGCTTCCGGCGAATGAAGAGCAATAAAGCATACTATTGCGATGACATTCCTGGAGATCTTCTCGCCAGAATCCCTGCTGTGCAAGCAGGCAGCGTACCAGCAAGAATCACTCCTTCATAAAGGTGGCAAGCTGGTGCCAGTTTTCAAAAAGGGCGACTCTACTGATTGCAATAGCTATCGCAGCCTGTTTGTGTCCAGCCACATCGGAAAAGCCCTCCACAGCATCTACAGAAGGGAACTTGGAAGAGTTTTTGTTGACCAGCGTCTACAGATGCAGTTAGGAGGTCTTGAGGGACAGAGTATTGCACAAGCTAGCCATGCATTGCGACTCTTCCACACATCGGCACTTCGTGAAGGCGAGAGCTGTGCCTTTCTGTTCATCGACATCCAAAGTGCCTTTTACCGGCTCCTTCGTCAACACCTCATTGAGTGTGCACAGGACGCACGAAACACAGCAGAACTATTCAAGAGCCTCGGACTCCCTTCCGAAGCTTTTCTCGAATTCCAAGAACTTTGCAGCAGTGCTCCTGCTTTGGACAGTTCTACTGCTAGTCCGTTCTTGAAAAGCCTCTTCCAGGAGTTCTATAGCACAACGTGGTACTCGGTCGAAGGTACACCGGTACTGACCCAGACCAGGCGCGGAAGCCGCCCTGGTGATTCCTTTGCAGACATATGCTTTGGATTTGTCTTGTGCAAGATACTCAGACGCACACAGCAGCAGCTTGTGGCTGACTTTCCTTTCCTACAGATGACGTGGAATGGTAGCTGCTGCCCCCACACTTCGCTGCAAAACAACTGCACCCTCGGCCCATTAATGCCGATATGGGCTGATGATGTTGCACTTGCAGTCAGACATCAAAATGCTTCCGTACTTTTAGATGTCCTGCCGAAGATTGCCGCGCAAGTACTACATTCATTGGCCGCCGCAGGTCTGAGACCCAACCTCAAGCCTGGGAAAACTGAGATAGTGGTAGAACTACGAGGTCCAGGCAGTTTGAGGGCAAAACGGCAATGGATGGAAATGGGGCATCAACTGCACCTTCAATCGCCCCTTCTTGACCAACCACTGAGAGCTGTCTACTGCTACAAACACCTGGGTACCTATATCCAGCAAGGGGCAAAACTCACAAAAGATCTCAGTGTCAAGTTCGCGGTTGCACATGATACTTTCACCAAGTTTCGTGCACAGATCTTCAACAATCGAAGTCTCAAGCTGAAGACAAAAGTCCAATACTTTAAGTCTCTCATCCTGAGCACTATCACCTTCAGTTGTGCAATTTGGGAAATGGAGACAAAGAGACAGAAAACCCAGATGCAAAAAGGATTCCACCGACTGTACAAACGACTCACTTGGTCACACTTTGGTCATCATGCCAAGGAATGGAGTTTTGACCATGTACGAGCGACATTGGAGTTACCACACCCAGACGATGTATGTCGAGAAGCCAGACTTCGATACATCATGCAATTGGTACGCCATGGGCAGCCACACACCTGGGCATTGATACAACTTCAAGGCTCCTGGTTTGCCCAAGTTCGTCAGGATCTCGAATGGCTCCAAGCATTTTGCCCCGAGCATGATATACCGACAGGTGAGCCTGATGATTGGTGGAAAGCAGAAGATTGGGCGCTCCACCATCCACGCCAGTGGAAGAGAGTGATCCGAAAGGCAGTTGCCAGGGCTGTCAACTACCATACAAGAATCTACGACTGGAAGTCTTGGCATGCAGAAATACAAGGACGACTTTTGCTGAAGGGATTTGGCCAGCCTGAGATGCCACAGAAATCAGACTCCTTTTGGTGCCTCGCGTGCAAGAAGGTGTTTTGCAACCGTGCTGCCATGACTGTCCACTCCTTCAAGAAACATGGCAGGATCCAGATAGCAAGATATTTCGTTGAGGGACAAGATTGTCTGTGCTGCCTGAAGAAGTATGGAAGCTATGTGTCCCTAGTCAATCATGTCAAAAGGACACAACGCTGCCTACAGTTTTATCAAACAAGACCGACTCTCGCTGAACCTACTCCTGGAGTGAATAGCAGGCAAGCTAGGAAGGCCAGCGAAGTAATACGCCTCCCCTATCTTCAAGCGGAAGGGCCGTTGGAGGCGCCTATTGATCCAAATGCACCGTATGATCCTCAGATTCGAGCTGAGTGCACCCGACTTCGTTTGTTGTGGGATGCTGCACTAGCTCTCCGAGATCAAGATGCTTCGCTAGAACAATTGCGAAGAGCTGCTGGATCGACCTTCCTATACCCGGATGAACTGCTTGCCACTTTCAAGCAATGGCATGCAGACTTTGATGAGGCAATTGACCTGCTACAATTGGGGATTTTGCAATTGTTCCAGACGCATTTCTCGTATGAATGGCTCACTGGTGAACATATTGCTCAAGACAACTTGGCACAGAAGTCGATGGACTTTTTCGAACATCATGCGCACCGCATGACGACTTTACATTGCCACGTTGCCAGAGTGCCAAAGTATTCACCGAGAGTGTTCGCTCATCTCTTCTCAGGTCACAGAAGGGAAGGCGACATTCAGAGCCACCTCGAAGCTTCTGGCGCTTTCGCATTGTCAATCGACATAATTTTCCACATCGAATATGGTGATTTGGCAAAAGCAGACACATTCGCTTTCTTCGTCCGCGCCTTGGCAGAAGATGTCCTCCTTGGCTTCATTGGAGGACCACCGTGTGAAACGTGGTCCAGGGCGCGTGGGTCACTACTCCCTGACGGACGACCAGGTCCAAGAGTCGTGCGCAGCATGGCAAGACCCATGGGACTGTTAGGGCTGACTATGAAGGAGCATGACCAGGTTGCTTTCGGAAGCAGGCTCCTTGGCATAATGCTTAGACTTATGGTTGTTGCCCTCTTCGAAGGAAAGACGGCGATATTGGAGCACCCTGCTGAAGACTTGAACAACCACAACCAGGTGTGCATCTGGAGGCTACCAGTGGTGCAGACTCTCCTGCGCTTTGACCAGTGCCGGCGAATCCGCGTCTTGCAAGGCTACTATGGAGCCAAATCACCTAAGCCTACAGAACTTTTGTGCATGAATGTAGCTGAGAATGCTGAGCAATTGCTCCTGAGCGGCAGGACAACACCCCTGCCTAAGACAATTTCCATTGGAAAAGGAGAACACGGCGAGTGGCTGACCACCTCACTCAAAGAATATCCGAAGGATTTCTGCGAGGTGCTCGCAAAAGTTTTCCTTTCGAGCCAGCACGAAAGTACAGATCCCTCTGCTCTCCCGCAATGGTTTCTTGACCGCTGCGAGGCCCTGGTTGGTCAATTCGACCAGAAGGCTAGCATGGGGCAAGACTTTCATGGCAAGAAATTGTCCAGTGTTAATTAGGAATTCTAGTGCACAGCGGCCACAGACAACAGTCATCGGCGAACGCAAGAGGAAAGAGAGGACATTGCACCATATATGTGAATGTGTGTCAACATGCCAGGGTTCCTTGGTGTCGAAAGGCATGTCCAATTCTTCAGTTGACCATCCTGAGCAAGAGATGCAAGAGTCGCAATGACGTCAGCGACAAAATTGACGGTTCTGAGGACCTCTCTATGTCACTCTATGTTTGGTGAATCCCCAGTGGTACGCCCAACATAGACTGACATAGTGACATGAGGCTGTTCTATCAGATAAGACACAATATTTTGCTGATTCCTTTTGGCTGCAATTCATATGGAACCATGCCTTAACTCAAAGCAATTAGCAAAAACAATGTAAAGCATCTTCCTCCCACCACCGGAATGCCATGAGGCTGTGGAAGAACATGGCGATGCTTGTGGGCTTTGCACAGCGGCATGCATTTCTGAACAATTTAATATCACCATTGGAGAGTTGTCAAACATGCCCTCCCTTTGGCCCCATTGGAATCATCTGGTCACTTCGCTGGTTGTTGTTTTGTTTTTTTAATGCTTTCATGTTGGTCTTTCACAACCCCCCCAAAAAGGCCATATCGCAGCTGTAGGTCCATGAACATTGCTCCAGGCGAACATCGCATCTTTTGACGTTGGAACTGATCGTTTGGCAAAGGGAATCACATCTTTCCACTGCCCTTCCTGGCATGCATTGATCAGATCATATCAGATCTATCCGACACATAGAGAGGAACAAACTCGACTCGCCAAGAAGTCACACCGAAGTTGAAAAAAAACAAACTGTAAACACCGAAGCCTTGGTGGAAGCTCTTGGCCGAACGGCCTTTCTGCTTGGTCTCCGAACGGCTTTCTGAACGGTGCTCCTCCTTGTAAACATCCACCGGAGAGACGGACAGGGCCTGGCGTTCTGAAAACCAGGTTCGTGGAACCGAAACCTTTGGAAATCGCGACGTATTCTCCGTGGGGAAGTCACAGGCCCAAGTCTGCAGTCGTATGACCATCAAAACGGTCTGCACTGTGCAGTGGGCGTCGTTTCGGTTTCTGGACGGTGCCAGAAGGGTCATGTGGTCGACGTTTGATTGGGCACAAAAAAAGTGATTCGGCGCCGCGCAGTCTGAGACCTTGATGCAATGGAAAAAATACACGAAAACCTGAAGGGGTTGTGTACTGTCTTTTTCTGGCAGTTGGGGCCAACTCAGGGTCAGTTTGAAGCCAAGTTGGCCCATCTTGTGGGCCGTTCCGAAGATGTTGCCGCTGATCGTCCAACTTCCGGAAAAAAATCAACACATACTGGAGGTGTCCAGCGCCTTTTGGTTGGTCTCCCTTAGCCAAACTGACTACAACACGAATTGACCACGCCTGCGGATTGATCGTATGAGTAGCTGGCTGATAGATGGTGATAGCCAATAAAGGACTGAGAGGCTTCTCACTAGACCGTGCTTTTTGATGTTTTTTGAATCATGTTGAATCTATTCCATGCAAGGTTCGGCTCAGGGTTGAAATCAACTATGGGGATGTCCAACACATCCAAATGCATTGCCCTTCCGTGCCCTTCGCAAACCGCACCCGTGGGGTGCCCATGACCAAGTCTTCTCGCCAGCAGCTAGGGCAATCCTCAGTACATTCTCTGTTGGTGTTGTTTGGCGAACCACAACATCAGGCCCACCAGGGCAGGATTCACCACGCTAGCATCCAATCATACGAACGAACCAAAGTCAGGTTGAAAGTTTGAAACTCAAACACCATCCTGGTCTTGTGTGATTAACAATCTGCTTCTCAAGCCATGCTGAGGACTAGCAAGCATGCAACTGAGAGGTCCTCACAGCAACACGAAACTGCCTTTAGGTAGAAGGAACAGGAAAAGAAATGAAAAGAACACATCTCGTCGCATCAAATCAAGGAACCAAATCAATCATGCGAGGGGATCTTCAAAGAAGCTTCCTAGTGTTTCCTGAGCACAGAGTGTCCTAGCACATCATCTACTACTTAGTTACAATAGAAAGCTTACAATCGTCAAGAAAGCTTTGAAGCACATCATCTACTACTTAGTACTTAGACTTGAAAGCTTACTTTGGCCGACTATGGCCCACTTTCAAAGAACGAACACTCGCCACATTCGCCACACATCGCCCATTCGCTATCGCCTGGTACATTGGCCATCGTCTATCTGGTGAGGACTCATGCTTTCCTGCCTGAGGGTCGACCATCGAACTAAGGACCGGCAAGAGTTGGACCGGCAAAGGCACATAGCGGACATAGCGTCCACACGAGGATACTATTAGTCTTAATTTGTTCTGCAAGGGAGCAAGGACGCTATGCTCAGTGGAGGCCATCGCAAGTAGGATGGAGGCCATCGCTACTAGTAACAAGAAGCTACTAGTAGCAAGGACGCTATTATATAGGTGGTTGTTCTCAAATCTGCAACGATGGGAGGAAGCTGAAACTCCGGAGTCCAGTCAATGAAAGCTAAGCCACACGACCTGCAACAAACAAACAAACGCACAAACGAAACTGACTCTACCATAAATAGTCTTCGGAAGTCTGAGACCCCTCACAACATGCAGGTTGACAGCATTGTGCACACGCCACCTGCAGATCGTCGGTGAAGGAACGTTAAGGCCAAAGCACTTTCAGACCTGAATGCTATGTCAGGCAAAAACAACATTCATACAATGAGTTCCCTTTCAAAAGTCCAACGTATGCAACCGGATATGAGAAACCTCAGGTATGTTGAGCTGTTGTTTCAAACGGTTTCAATGATAAAGTGATAACGGATTGAGTCTTGGGTGCTCCAAACATTCCCTGAAACAATCTAGTATGCAATCAGAGAAGGAATGTCTATGTTTTGGAAATTTGTTCTAAGCAAATCCTGCAGAGTGCCAGAATTCATAATGAGCCGGTTCCCACGGGCACCGTTTCTTGATAGGGTGCCGCAGAGTAGGTTTCATTGGCTTCATTTTGCTCAGGGTGCAATTCCAAGTTTTTTGAGCTGAAGAAGATTCAATTCCAAAGTAAAGCTTTAGGACAGGCAAACGAATGGAACGCAGTTCGTTGTTGTCAACACAAAAAGACTTTGGGAAACTTGGCAGAATGCATTCGATTGTTGGCATGCACACATTAATGCCCATATAGATTGCTATGTTTCTTGATGCCCCTCTCTCTCTCTGCCAGGATGTTTATCTTTGGTGAGAACACACTAAATACAAATCCTAAACTCCGGTTTTCCCAGAGTTTTCACCACAGGTGCAGCCAAGAATCAACCAGAGTGGCAAATCCCTCCAGTCCTACAACTTGTCATAGTCACCGCTGGAAGACATGTGTTGTGTTCCAAAAACATTCAAACACTATACAAAATATACAAAATTCCGCAGGTTCGTCTTGGGAAGAGAACCTAGCCTACTGACTGCTTGTTTACTCTGACACCTTGACCTTCATTCTCGGCCAGGAACCGCCCTTCGCCCTTCGCTGCTATCTAAAAACCTCGAGTAGTCTAGGCATCGTCTGCAGACTCGTCTGCTGATGTCGAAATGATTCGTCCAATCGACTCTGGGCCCAAAACCGTCGACTCGTCTAGCAAACCACGAACCCAAAAAGAAGCACAAAACAACGAACCATCCAAAACCGGCAATTGTGGAACTTGCACCTTTCAGAAGGATGATTCTACTGGAGGAATGTCTGAGGGTAGCTTGAACGCACTTTCATGATGCCAATATGCAATCTGCTCCGTATCACAGTTCTTGCACCACCATGAGTGGGCATCTGCAACGAGTAGGAAGAATTCAGCACACAAACATGAAACTGATCATAACCGATCAACCTGCTGGAGCCTGCAAATCCAATTCAACACGACAAGAATGCAGCTGCACACAACACACCCTGTCGCAGATTGGCCAGTAAAGGCATCGTGTTCATCTCCGTCGAGGTGGACGCACCTGCCTTGCTGTGTATTCACCTGCCTCTTCGTATGCCTACGGGCTGGCCTTGTTGGAGTTCTAGTTAAGGAATCTTTTCAGAGCTTCTAAAGAAGTGTGCTTTCATTGCCCCCGACATACCTCTCCCGCACAGAATGCTGTGCAACACTCAAAGCGATGCACGGTGAAATTTGAAGACCGCGGTGAGTTTCACCAGGACTGGTGTTTTTCACCACCGTTGCTTTTCATTCCTCTTTTAAAATGGAAAAGAAGGAACACATGGTAAAAAGATGTAAAGAGCATGGTTGCTTTTTGGTCTCCTTTAAAAGGAGTTTTCTTCTTAAAAAAGGTCCTTTAAAAGCCGTTGTTTCTTCTTGAGATCTGCGGTTGAGATCGGTTTCGCCCATCTCCTGGAACCGGCAGCGACCGTAGTTGCACTGGTCATAGTCCCAAAGAAATCTCTGTCGGCCTCGGTCTCGGCTTTTCGGACTCAGTCTGTAGAGAAGATATAAATCGAACGGATCATGGAATCATCAAACGCGTTTTTGTGGTAGACAGGGCTTGACCTATGTCTCCCTACCCCTAGAAACCAAAATAGCAACGAAACAGAATCGACTGCCAACTTGCTGGACTTGGTTCTCAAAGTGCCACTACCACACCCTCTTGATAGAGCACCGCCTCACAAAATTGACCTACAAACAAAATCCTTCAGGAAACCAACATACTCCCAAGAGAACCATAACAATATATAACAATTATCCCATGAAAACTCTGAAATTTCATCATAAAACTAAGTTTGTTCGTGTCAAACAACTATGAACTGTTTTTCTCACTCAGAGTGAACTGTCAGCGATGGGCCTATGCCACTTAACCTTTTTCCTAGTGTGTTCCCAAGTACACGTTCCATCATTTTCCAACTTTTGTGCATCGTTCCACCAGAAAAACGTGGCACATTTAGTATTCCACATTGCTGTTCCACCAAATCCTAACCAACCCTAACACACTCCCAGAAAATCCAAACAAACTCCCACAAAGACCTACCCTTTTTTTTTCGCAATTTGGGGGGTGCACAAGTCCCATTCGCAGAGAGGACCTGCCAAGAACCCGTTTCTTTTTCTAGAAGGCATCCTAAGATGGCAATGCCTAGCTCAAACAAAAGCAGCCTCGTGCGCCAGAACCTGCTGATCAGAAGCATCATTTTCCCAGCAAAAACAAATGTTTCTCGATCAAACTCAAATGATTTCCGACCATTTTTCCTGGACATGCTTTCAAAGGATTTTGTCAGGAATGTGCTATAAATATACTGTATATGACTGTATATGTGTTTAACGGTTCTACGTTGAAGTCAAGAAGCACCCCATGAACTAGCACAGTATGTGATGTTTGAGTACTTTCTACCTACAGCTCTAGAAAGCATGCTGCTAGTGCGCTTGCAAAACTTAGCGCTGATATGTGTTTGAACATCACTACCTGCGTCCCTACCTAATCTTTAACCTTGCTCCAGTAAGTATCCGAAGCCATGGTGAACCATTCCTCCAGCAGTAAAGCTGCTAATCGAGTTTGAAATTGTTTGTTTTCTTGACTTTGGTTGTAAATTGTAAATTGCATGTTTGTTCAATGCATTTCCTTCAATGGCCTTGAACAGGAGTTGTGAAAGGAGCTAAAGGATAACCTTCGATTACAGAGATTCAGAAATTCACATCTTTTATCCTCTTTTCTCCTTTTTACAAGTTTTTGGGACGAGCTTGGACATCTTTGAAAGGAACTCAAACATTTGAGTGAACGAGCTATCCCCAATACCCTTGTGTCTGCACTGGACTTGGGATGGGGCCGGGTCCAACGCTACTTTATGCGAAAGTCAAAGGCTTCCCAAATACTAATAGCTGCTTGTTACTACTAGTAAGGCACTTGTTACTAGTAGCGATGCACTTGT